CTTGACTAGCTGTCTCTGTAAGGTTATGGAGAGGATGGTTAATGCTTGTCTTGTTTGGTTCCTTGAATAAAACAACTTCCTCTTGTCCACCCAATCTGGTTTTTGTAGACAGCGATCCACTGTGAACCATTTGATTTGTCTCAAAGCCTTGATCAGGGAAGCCTTCCTCAAAGGAGAGCATCTTGTTTCTATCTTTTTTGATCTGGAGAAGGCTTATGACACTATATGGAGGTTTGATGTTTTGTTTGACCTCCATTCATATGGGTTGTGTGGCCAGTTACCCCTTTTTATTTGCAACTTTTTACTAGACCAGAGTTTCCAAGTCTGTATGTGCTTGACCCTGCCCAATCCTTCACACAAGAACTTGGAGTCTCTCAGGGCTCTGTCTTGAGTAACACACTTTTCAGTATTAATATCAATGCTATCACTTTCTCTTACTGTTGCAAACAGCCTCTATGTCAATGACTTCATGTTTCTTGTTGGTCGTCAAACATGACATTTATTGAGCAACAGCTTCAGTCTGCTCTCACTTGCTTGTTGGGGTAGACCAGGGCAAACAGTTTTACCTTCTCTTCTTCTTCTAAGACCATTTGTATACATTATTGCCACCAGTGGGGTTTACATCCTGATCCAGAGCTCCATCTCGGTGGTGATGTTCTTCTCATGGTGGCTGAGTTCCTGGGATTTATCTTTAACCGTAAGCTTACTTTCATTCCTCACATTAAGCAGATTCATGTCAAGTGTACAAGAGCACTGAACATATTCTGTGTTCTCTCTTCCACCTCTTTGGGTGCAGATATATGTTCCATGCTCCAGTTCTATAGTGACCTCATATGATTAAAGCTGGGCTATGGGTCAGTGGTTTAGACAGGGCCTCTGCCTTGAAGATATTGGATCCTGGGCATCCTCTGGGGCTTTGACTCTACAAGGGGGCTTTCTGCACTTCACCAGTCCAGAGTCTGTACACTGAGTCCCACAAACCTTATCTTTACCTCAGACGTTTGCAACTTTCTTTGCATTATACTACCAAGCTTCAATCCTTACCATGGTACTCCACCTGGGGTTGTGTTTTCCTTCCTCAGTGGGTTTGCTCTTTTAGAATTGGTGGTCATACAGTCCTTCATTAGGCTTTCATATCCAGGCACAGCTTTCTGAATTGGGTCTGTTATTGAATGATGTTGCTGAATCTGATGACCAGCCCATTCCTCCATGGCTTGTTACCACCCGCACCTGTGACCTTTCTCTGAGTCATCTAAGGAAGACGGATACTACTGATTGAAAGTAGCATTTCCTCTTTGCCAAACATTTTTCAAACCAATCTTTTGTTCCCTGTTTTATTGATGGTTTGGAAACAGGTGACTCTGTGGACTCTGCTATGGCTTTTTGTGGCTTGATGGTTGCTCACAGGATTCCCTCTACAGTTTCTGTGTTCACTGCTGAGTTGTATGCCATTTCGCCTGCCTTGGATCACTTAGAAGTTGAGCAGTACACTGACTCTCAGCTCTCTACTGGTCCTGAAATTGCTTCATGTGAATTCTCACCCTGTTTTTTTGGACATTCAAAAACGACTGGTCCAATTTTATTTGTCACCCATTTCTATCCAGTTCTTCTGGATGCCTGGCCATGTCGGTATTGAAGGGTTCACCCAGGGGTGTTTATTTAATGCTGTATTCATTCTAGTATATTTATGTCATGATAAAGAATTTTGCATTTCAATTTTGTACTTTTTGTCTATTTTAGAACTTGGGATGAATGATATTGGAAAAGGTTGAGAAGTACTGTTTTAGGGAACAAACTTGCTGACACTGCAACTAAGTCCATTTGCTCTGGCACTGTCACAGCTGTGCCTGTCCGGTGATGAAGGCAAGACTTCATGCCAGTTAGCAGCCAATTTGGGATAAGCAAATTCATAACAACCTTTTTCAAATCAAACCTGATGTTGTTGCTTGGTTGTCTAGTTTCATTAAGGATCCGAGGAAAGAAGTTGTCTTGTCTAGGCTACACATTGGACATAGTTTTTTATCTCATCATTTACTTTTATGTGGGACTGATCTGCCAATGTGTTGCCTTCATGACACTTGCTGATGTCTTGTTTTAGTGCCGTTGTTATGACTATGTTTACCTCTTATGATGGACAGTGTCATTGGCGATGGTAACACTGTCCAGATTGCTTGTTTTTTTAGATTTTTGCTGGCCATAGACCTTTTAATTCTGTTTAAGTTTTTACCTTGATTTCTTTTTACTTTTTGTAATATTTTGCTTTTTCCTTTTGTACCAGTTGTTTGGCACAGATACCAAACACCAATCAAACAATTGAAATCTCATGGTTTTGAAGCATAAGGTTGTGCCTTAGAGATTTTTCACAACTTTAAAGCATTTGATGCTTATAGGGAGGAGTTCAAGATGATACAAGAAGATCTAGGAGGGTATGTGCACAGTTTTTTGTGCCACATACCCATCAGATGGTTGACATTATATCTAGCAATGCAGAGAATTTTGGTGAAATCGGATGCTCTTACTCAGTATTTTCTAGTAGATTGCCAAAGAAGAAGAAGCGAAAGTGCAATGAAAATGATAAATACATCATGATTTGTAAGAAGCTGAAAGATTCTCACAGACTAAACTACATCCACTTTGTCCTTTATGTTGCACATCTGTTAAAAAGATTTCTTGAGATCTTTTAGTGTGATGGGCCACTTATTCATGTATTGCATGCATTGCTGTGTGACCAGGTTAAGACAATCATGATAAGATTTCTGAAGGAGGAGTTTGTTGAAAATGTAAGACCTTGGAGCTGAGTGAAACACGAATTGATAAAAGGGAAGAACAGCTGAAAGTAATCTCAATATATAGGCCCGAAAGCAAAAGAATTGTTTTCATCCCTTCCAGAGAATAAAAGAGGTGTTGATATGTTAAGCATGAGAATACTACCAACTTGTATATCACATATTCTGATGAGAGATGGGCAGTTAATGGAACTTGCTAATCAATTAATTATTGGGCTCATTAATTGATTACATTAAACTGATAGATGATTCTCACATGAGTTAAATGGGAAAAAATAAAACCATAATGCTACAAATTAAGTTTGGTAAGCCATTGTGTAGCTTTGCCCGTAACAACAAACAAACATGATGGCAATTTTCCATTACTTAGATGGTTGGAATATTGAAAATAATAATGATCAGAAATCCTAGTTTTGATTAGTTGATTATTTTGTGACATTAATTGATTTAATCCTAATTTTGATTACTATATAGTTGGAATAATCAGAAGCATTAGTTGATTATTTTTGTGACATTAACTGATTTAGTCACAATTTTGATTAATCAGTCATTTTACGAGACATTAATCAATGTAATTGATGCACATAGGTAATTGAATATTTAAATTAATCAAGTGTATTCCTAATCAATCCCTAATCTTGAATATGATGTACAAACTGAAAAGAGTAACTACTGGTAACAAAGGTAAGTTTTAAGTAATATAAGTTTTGCTTTTAGCCTGTCAACAGCAGCATAAGTTGTATTTTTCAAAGTATGAATGATATTGTGAAGCATTTTTTGTTTAATATTAACATTTATTTTCCCATAAAATTGGTTTAAATTCCTGTATTTTTATGAAAAATATTTGTGTATTTATCCTGTATATTTTTGGGAGCCTGCTGAGAAGGGAGATACATATATCTTGTCTAGTCCTAAACTACTGTTTCATAAGAAGAAATGATTTCATTGAGACACAAGAGGAAATTGTGAAAATATCACTTATAAGTGATTATACTTATGTGCTAGTGAGTACGATTGGGTTCAACAGAAGTTGGTAAAAATATAATTGTAATTAATATTAAATACCAATCAAAGCAAGTGTGAACCTAAAAATCAACATGATAATGAGTATAGTTAAGTAATTATGTTTTTCTTACATTCTTATTTTTAAAGATTAGAATACCTTGTTTCATCATTGTAAACAGTATTTTTTACTTTTTGCCACCAGCCCAATAATAGCTACAAAGTTTGGCGAACTTAGGAGATTTAGGCTAGTCCCAAATCCATATATAAAGGTATCAATGCAATAATGGTATAATAATAATAAAGTAATGAACAAATTAGATGCTTTTTTTATAATAGAACGCAGTTCCATTAGTATATTTGATTTAAAAGAAGGTAATTCTAGCAGTGCAAACTCGTAAACCTTTCTTATGTCATAGTAGTTAAGTTTGTTGTCTGTTACATATTGTTTATTGGATGGTGTTGTTTGAATTTATAATCTTAACAGATATAACTTCTTTATTGTCTGTGTCATTAATCCATTTCAATTTATCGTGCTTTAAATTTTTTTAGCTGAAAGGATGGATTAAAAAATATTTAAACTTAAACAAATCTTTATTTGTCTGTGTATACTTGTTTGTCTGTGTATACTTGTGTGTTTGTGTATCAGTATGTATTCTTAAGCAAATATACGTATCCATGATTTTCTCAGTATTAGTGGCAACTAAGCTGTGAATATTTTTAATGGAATGCTGTTGCCTATCTTATAAGTATTGGCATGTAATCTGGTGTTGATAAAATACTGGTGTCATGAAAAAACAAAAGTATTATGTGGGCAAGAATTATGGGACACTTAATATTTTAGGTACATGAAAGATTTCTACTGACGTAGAAGAATCTGGGATTTGATGCTAATTTTAGTGATTGTATCCTTTTATCAATGAAAATTGAGTGTCTTGATTCAACATAATGTACTTGTTTTGATCAAGTTATATGTTTCAGATCTGCATTATTGAAGTTGTATGTAAAAAAATCAAGACTTCAGTTGAGTAATAAATCAAACTTATTTAGTGCTGACTTTGGTGTGTATTGGGACTGTGTAAATTTAACCAATTAAATGTAAGTGCAGAGCAGATGATTCAGATTTCATGGTAACTGTGTGTATGTAATTGAACCACAAGTGTGCATTTCAGTAAACAAATACTATATGTATGGATTACATTTTTCTTTCAGGCAAGAATAGCCTTTCTTCAAGGAGAGAGAAAGGGACAAGAAAATTTAAAAAATGACTTAATTAGGAGAATAAAGATGTTAGAATATGCCTTAAAACAAGAAAGGTAGGTTACACTATACTGTGATATTCTCTATGAATTTCAAATTTTAAAGATCCCAAGATTATTTTTTAATTTTTTGTAATTGAGATGTTTAATGTGGCTTTTGCAAACAGAGTAAATAGACTGTCCACATACACACACTGTTTTTTTTCCAAGCAAGTTGTTATAATCAGCTTTCCAGCATTCTGTACATTGCTTCAAAAGTTACAAGATAATGAAAAAAATAGCTTTTATGTTTTAATAAAAAGAACACACTATTATAGTGCTTAAAAATTAGCATTAAAATCACACCCTAGTATTAATAACTGCTTCAGAAACGCTACTCATCTCTCCACAGAACTAATAATTAATACCTTGTGCCACTGTTGAAAAAATTTTGGGCATGTTCCAAGCCTATGAATGAGACTCTCACCTCTAAATGTAATAATGTGTACTGTGCCATTCTATGATGCAATCAGCAATAGACTATGCCTTTCCACCAATTGGAAGGTGATACATCTTCCATGTGCAGTGCTCTTCTTGAGCACTTTGTATAGCTTATTCTTTCCTTTAACACTCTGATGTTCATTCATGTTATTTTCTTGATAAGGATAATGGAATTATTGTGATTATTATTTTAACTTTTAGTTAACATTTGAAGTGTTGTCTTTCTTCATTGTCTTGATTGTGAGAATGAAGATACAAATTTTAAAAAATTATTTCATTTAAAGTATTTTGATACAAATTATTATTATTTTTTTACATTGATTTGATTTTTCTTTCTTAATCAAACTATGAGATTTTGGGACCTTTGTTCCAGAGTCTGTGATATGGTTTCTTTGACAGGAATATTTCCCATTATCATAACCCAGTGTTTGGGGTTCGATAATTATTTTCATTAGTACAAAAATAACCAAGGCCTAATTACCATGCACATACCAGACCTGCTAAAAATATATATTACTACTTTTTATAAATTCAATTTCTTGAATCTTATTAATAAATACAGTTTCTCATATCTATATTTCTGAAACCTCCCAAAGTCCAGGTTCTTCTTCATAGTAATTGCCTTATTTTCTTTGAATAACAATAGTGTTACCACCAATATACATCACATGGTTCTATGCTACATTCTTTATCTCAGACTTAGGTCCCATGGCTTCCTGCATCTGTAACTTCTGCAGGCGTTGCCTTGTTTGTGGATGTCTTTTACCAGCTGTCTTTGCTTCTGGCTTTTTATCAATGATGAGGATCTGGTAACACCCATCTTTGTCCTTCAATGCTCTGATTACTCATGTTTGTGACATTTGATCTTTTACTCCTTGTAATTTTGCTGGTTCTCAGGTGAGATTTTTGCATGCATTTCAATTCATAGGATTTTTTCCTTCCTACTCTACCCTTGCTTAATTTTGCATTGTTGCAGATTTTTTGGGTGTCTGATTTATGTTGCAATGTCTTCCCTGAACTTCAGACTCCTTTTCTTGTGGCCTTTGGTTGGAATCTCAATTTTTTTCTAGTGCTCTGATCCCTTGAATTTCTTCTTCCAGCTTCAGAAATTTTTCTTCTTTTCCTCTCTTATACCCTCAATCAACTCATCTTCTTTTAGTTACTCACCTTCTTATTTTGGTGTTCTCTTTTCACTTTCCTTCTGAGAATGTGCTTCACTATCCTGAAAGTTTCACTGGGGATGGCTACAATAACCTGTTCTTCATGCTACCACATTTTCTTCTTTATCTGTTGCTCAGTTCATTTGCTTTCTTTCTTTATTTCTGGGATTTGCTTCATTATGATGTGTTATTTTCAGAAGGTAGTCTCCTTTTTATCTCAGGAAACTCTATTTAACATTCTTCCTTCATGCAGATGTTTTTTGGTCAGTTATTCCTCCTCCTGTTTCTTCTTCTTGGTGTCCTTCCTTTGAAGAGGCCAGCCATCATGGGGCTCAGTGATGAGGTTTTTCTGGAACCACATCTTAACTTTGGTACTGTTTGAGTTTGGTTCTTATACTTTGTACATTTGTAGATGCACTTTGTAGGAAAGTCTTGTCACATAGGTTTTATTTTGGAAACTTTGTTTGTCTTACGGAGCTTACTCTTGTCTGATTTTGACTAAGTCGTGAGGGTTTTCACACAGATAATGCTCTTGTTGGGTCTGCATTTCAACTAATATATGGACATTTTGCATATCCTAGCTTTTCCTGAGAGGTATTATCTTCTATGACTTCTCTTTTTTGGGGGGGTGGGGAGTTTGCTCAATTTGGTTGGCTGTTTAGGTTCTTAAGTCAGTATTGATTCCCATTCAGTATCTGATTCATTTGGGAATCTTTGTCACCTCGTTTGATGTGTGGACTCAACCTTGTCTTTTACATTTTTAAGATGTGGAGCTTCTGGTTTCCAAGCTCTTATGTTTCTGTTTCTTCCTATTCTTAAGATTCTGTCTTATTTGGAATCTCTTGCCTCTATTGTGTACTTTCCTACATTTTACCAGTAGATTCTAGCAGATCATTGGAATGTATCTTGTGATCCACTGTCTTTTCTTGTTTCTGTACTGTTGTTTCTTTACCTTTTGCTCTCTTAGTGGTTTAAAAATTTCCACATGAGCATTATTCTTCTTCTATTCCACTCAGACTTACATCTGCTCACATACCCCATTCTAATCAGGTGTGGTTCTGGATACCTTCACCATTTTGTGTGTTTGGTCTCCTGCAGAGCAATCTTCCCATTTCAATGTTTTTGAGATGTGAGCATTTCAATGACTTCTCATCATCTTTTGTTATAGCTATGTGGTCATCCTGTTTTGATATGTATTGACAACTCCTCTGTCAATTCTTACAACTGATGGGAAGGTACTAGGTCATTGGGACCTCTGCTTTTTTGTTCTTGAATTTAATTTTTGGTTTCAACGCAACAACAACAATCAGCTATTGGCCTTCCTTATGAGCTTTGAATTTAGTGGCAGTTTAGCTGTCTTGCCCAGACCAAATCTTTCTCCCAGAGAGTATCCTTTACATCTTCTAGTGTTTCTGTGGATATGTTTCCTCTTTGGGAGACCTTTTTAAATGCAGCCGCAACTCCCCTTTTGTCACAAGTTTTTTATTTTTTTGGCCTCCAGTCCCAGAATTCAAAGCCCTGGCAGTTTTACCTCTGAATTTGGATTGGTCCACCCTCTCTCTGTATGCCTATCCTAATCTTCAACTTCTTCCCAGGGTGTTCTTTAATTCACAGCACCCCATGCCATGTTTTTTTCATTGCCTCTTCTTTTGGCCACTTCATTTACGATTTCTTCTCTTTAACCTCTTGGTGATCTTAGGGTCTGTATATCTTCTGTCTTGGTGGTCCATTTTTAATGTCATTCTCAAGCATATATTTTTACCATGATTTTTACAGATTATCAGTTTTTTTTCGTCTCACTTCTTTTTACCTGTCTATGGTCACTGGTTACAGTGCAGCTCTGTTGACAACTTTCTGTTTTTTTTCTCAAGTTTCTCTGGATCTTTTGAGAGTCTGTCTCATCAGAATCTTCCTCATCCAGTTCCTCTTCTTGACAGAAACCTCTGTTTAGTTCTCAGGGCTCTTACATGTCATTCATTACAACCTTTGGCCACCTGTTCCTGTATCGTCTCTCTCTTAAGTGATATTTTCTTTTTCTTTCTTCTTGCTTATGGGGGTTGTCACTCTGGTATTTTCCCTTTGATGCTCCTTACCACAAGGAGTGATTGATTTTACTTCCTGACCCCTCTTTTCTCTTCAAGACAAGGCTTGGCTGCCTGGGAGGGTGATCAGATGTTTTCTTCAATCACCTTCCCTTCCTTTTCTACTCTGTATGATCATTCACATCACACTTGTATCCTTTGTTTTGTTCAGGCAGTTCATCGTTATCTTGTTTGCACTGATTGCTTTTAAGTCAATCAACGTATTGTCTTTTTTTTTTTGCCATGGAATATTCTTTTTCTTATGAATTATCTTCTTCTACTTTGACTAGTTAGTTTAAAAAACTCACCAGCATATCTATTCCTTTATGGGAAATACTTTTCTTCAGGCAGGGATGTGGATGACCTCTGACCATTTTTGTCATAATAGCTACACCACATTGAAGTTTATTCTACCTATCAGTTTCATATCCCACTAGTCAGCATCTTTCAATCTTCACAGAAGCTCAAAGAGATGAATTGTTTGTTATTTCTTTATCTTGCAGGTTCTATAAAGAACAAATATGTGTGTATGTATGTGTGTATATATATATATATATATATATATGTATGTATATTGGAGTCAATGGAACCTACCATATGGCTGGTGTTGCCTCACAAGAATGCCTTTCTCTACCAAAATTTGCATCAAGTAGGGGATAACAGAGAGTGTTACGCCCATCTGCCTCTGCCCAGTGCTTGGTGTTAAGATTGGATTTTCTGCAAGACTGCTTCAGTAGCTTATATATTTTACCTTCCAAGCTGTACATCAGGAAAAAACAACAACAACAAAAACCACTAGGTGGCCTCACACCTGCCAGCTCCTGCTAACTCTGTTTGTAGTAATCCATTGCACAGTCTCTCAGTGTGGTATCTGAAGTTAATATTTTTCTTACATGAAAATGTATTTCAGATAGACACTTACATCTCCAAAGAATCACCGATCCTACTTGTCCACTTTCAGTATATTTCTTTTGCCCTTCATGAATGACCTTTTGGTATACACAAAGTACTCAAGGGTAGTACTGCACATGGAGGATGTGTTACTGTCTGTTGGTGGAGGAGTATAGTTAGTTTAATATTGATTGGATTATAGACTGGCACAATATATGTTATTACGTGAAGGGATGCGAGTTTCATTCAAAGACATGGCACATGAACAAAAACTTTTCAGCAGTGGCATTTGGCTAACTGTTCTGGATAGTTGAGAACCAATCTGTAATATGCTTTTAGACAAGGAATACATTGGCATTTTTGATTAGAAAAACCAAATCTTCTACCATGCACTTGTCAGCAGTTAAAATGTTCTGATCGCTATCCAAATTGACAAATTATAATTGCAAATATTTTATATTATCATATATATATATATATTTGATATATTATTTTTAGATATAATACTTGATACATATATCTAAACTACTGACAAGTCAATCTTGCAGAGGGATTATGTATAATGGGGATACCAGAAATTAGTAAATATAATGTTTTAGGTGGTTGTCATATGGTAATGAGGAAAATTTATTTATGCAAAACTTTTATTTAAAACTAATAAATTTATAATACACTTAGTTCCCCACTTTTGCATTTTTATGCCTTCAGTGGGTTGTCTTTATAAATCTGATTTTGTTTTAAATCCAGTTTCAAATGTTTGATTAGTAGATTTTCTTTAATCCTTGACATGTGTTTGTTATCAGTGCTGGCATAAAATTCTCATTAGTGGTCTTAAACACACTGAACTATATGTGTTTTACAAATCAAAACAAAATTCAAATTTGCAGTTTTATAAAATAAATATGTTGTAGGAAAGTTTACAAGAATGTACGAAGATATATAAAAATTAGTAATTGAATTCTACGACAGAGGTAAACATTTTTAATTGTTTCATAAAAGTTCATATCACAATGAAATATTTTCGAATTTTAAAGCTGCAAATTTATATAAATATAAGATTTTTTTATTTGCAAATGCTGTATAATCTGTAGAAATGTCATCTGACCCAGTGTAACTTGACTCTCTGATAAACATACATACCTTTCACTTTTTGTATAACAACATATGATAATTCTGTAACTCAGCTATCTTATAAGTGTGCATTCTAACTAGTGTATGACATTTTTGATGAGTCTGAACCTTTGTTCTATGATAAGTGTGAATTTTACCTAGTCTGTGATATTTGTGATAATTCTGTAACTTGACTTTCTAATTTAAATATAAAATACTTTTATCTTGTGTATAATCTCTGTGGTAGAACTATAATTTGGCTCTTTGATAAGCATAATTTTTACTCGGTGAATAATACCATCTCCTAGCATATAATCTTGTACAATAATTCTATAATATGACTGTCTGAAAAATATGCCTTTCACCCAGTATATAATATTTTCATAGTACTGCACATTCAGTGTCTGATAAGTATAGCTTTGATATAGCATATATCATATAATCTCTGCAGTAATACTGTAACTTGACTATCTTGCAAGTCTTCCTTTCCCATAGTGTTTATTGTGTGAAAATACTGTAATTTCTGTCTGTCTGATAAGTATATCTTTCACCAATTATGAACAGTATAATCTTTTTGAAAATGATGTAACTTATCAGCTGTTAAACATATATCTTTCATCTGGTATATAATGTGTGATGTAACTTTAACTTGACCGTATGGTTATCTTTTGTCTAGTATATAATATATGTGTGATATAACTATAACTTAACCATATGATCATTGTACCTTTCTTTTAGTGTATAATTTCTGATAAATACAATTTTACCTTTTTTATGGTGATTTTCTGACTGTGTTATAAACATACCTTTTGTTTAGTATTTAATCTTCATGATAATATAGTAATTTGTCTCTGAAGTTACCTTTCACTTAATATAATCTTTATTATAATAAATGGTGTAAGCTGACTCTGTTAAGCATACTTTTCATTTAGTGTTTGATCTCTGTGATAATATTGTAACTTTACTGATTAGTAAATGTAATTATTCACCTAGTGTTTAATCTCTGTGATAATATTGGAGTTTGATTGCTTGTAAATGTAGTTTTTATCTAATTTAGGGCCAAATTTCACAAACTAAAGTATGGAACAGAGCTTAATGTAGCAGATTTTAAAGGAACAGTATATGATGATTTAACAAAAGGTCAGTGAGTTTTTTTAAAGTTTAAGGTGTTTTCATTTTAAGAAGTTGGTTATTTTCACATTGTTTGTTTAATGTTCAGGTTTAGGATAGCTCTTGCAAATTCTGTGTTATCTGACAATAAAATTCTGACTTTTCTATTGTAAAGGTTTCTTAACTTTTGTATAACTAGTGTTATTGTGAAGTAGAGAATTTCATTGTTTACTCTACATTTTTTGGGAGCTTATTGATTCAGAACTTTAATCAAATAATTCATGTGCTAACCCTTTTTTTTCACAAACTTGCACGTTGGAAATTATCAGCAGTTTTCATTGGCTAACTTATAAAATATACAAATTGATGATTTTTATTTATACAGACTGAGGTGCTTTCATCAGTTTATAGTAATATTCTTTTATATGTACAAAGTAATGTGAATTTATCAGCTAAACTATGTCCTGTTATTAAAATATATGAGAAATAATATGGTTTTACCAGTAATATAAGTTTTATTTTATTTGTACAAATTATTTTTTTTCTGTTAGATTAATGCACTTTTATTGGTGTAAAACAATTTTCTTTTTTCTTTTATTGACACAAATTAATGTTATCTTATGAGAAAAATTATATGTTTTTGTAAGTTAAAATTAAAGTGATTTAACCAGTAAAACTAATGTGCTTTTGTCAGTACAAATTAATGTCTTATTTTACAACAAACTACTTAGTAAAATTCATGCGCATTTATTAGTTGAAATTGATGCACTTTATATTAAAATTAAAAGTAATCTCTTTTTATCCTCAAAGTTAATATATGTGCTTTTATCTATAGAAATTTATTATCTTTTATCAGTGGAAATTAATGTGATTTTATAAATATAAGTTAAAAGTTCTTTTAAAGTAAAACCAATGCATTTTTGTCAGTACAAAATGACATGCTTCTTCAGAATGAATTAATGTCCTTTTAGCTGTACAAATTCCAAAACATACTTACCTTCAACTGCTAGGGTTTCCTTACTTTGACCATCTAAGCATTGGTCTGATTTTTTCTCGCTTGCTCTAGTCTTTTATTCCCTACTTAATTTTACCCTTGGCAGTATATGTCTCCTGATACTCTCCACCTACGTCAATGTGCCCTCTATCTTGGTACTGTGTATAAGCACCTCATTCAGATAATATTATCACTTTTTCTCGACAAAGTGTTCACTAACAGGTTTCTGTGTACTATGACCATTGGAGATACTTCGAGTGTTCTTCATGTTACCTAGTTGATTTTCTTTAAAAAGATTAAAAATTAAAAAACAATTTTTAATTTACATTTGGCAAGCCAATATACGGCATGAATTCTTAGATTACTGTTTCCGGCATGGAGGCAGATCAGGTCTTTCCTGTTCCACCTATACTATCTATCATTGCTCAATAGTCTGGGGGGGGGGGAGTCACTGTCAGTTGAGGTTGTCCGTTATCTTCTTCATAGTGAGATGGAGACACATATTCAGTCCGATAGTGTTTCTTCAGGGAGCTGTAAGGCTGCACTTGCAGGCAATCCTGGATATTCTGGACACAGTTTAGATTCATTTTTTCCAGCATCTTTCTTTACTCTGTCGGCTTCTCGTGAGGCTCCTTTTCTTTAGTTGGTCAGTAGAGTGTGTGATGTTTTGGGTTGCTTTTGAGTCTGCATTTTCCTTGATGGAGGGAAGGTCTGAGGGTGAATACTTCATTCTCCTCCCATTCCCTGATATTGCAGTTCATGCAGGGAGGTTCACTGCTTAGTTATGTGAAGGGACAGCTATGCCTTGTCCACCATGTTTGTCAGAACAACATGCCATAGCATACCACTGCCAGATGGACATGTATTTAGACTCTCAAAGAATAGATCTACTCCTGGAAATGTGGAGTTCCAGAACAGAACCTGTGGTCATCCTGAATAGATCACAGTTTCTAGGATTCATCTGGCCTTAACTATGGTTCTGAGATATTTGTCATCCTTCCAAATTTTGTCAGAAGCTTCTCAACAATCATCACATCAATTTGATGACTAGTTGGGACCATTGTTGGCATCTACCTTGATTTGATTGTCAGCTTCTGCACTTTCCCAGAATCCTGGCTGGTATGTTGTTGGTGTTTGTTGGGTAGAGATGCATTGATGGATGACATTTGCCTACCACCCTCCCTCCAGGAGTTATGTCAGGCCCCTTTCTTTGATCCTTCATTTTTGCAAGCATTCTACAGTTTTTGGATTCAAAGGTTGATATCGCCCATCTGCATTAATCCCTGTCATTGTTGGATTCTTGACTTTCCTTGACTCCTACAGGGGGGTCATAGGTCTTTTCCTATTCAAGTGTCCCGACCCATGACATCAGCCCCTCAGTCCATTGGTACCCAGAATAAGTTCCTCCCATATCCACGAGGTTCCTCCACTTGGTTGGAATGCCGCCAGTGCGGCTGTGACTACTGTATGCCTTTGAGATCTGTAGAGGCTCAGCTCCGTGAATTTCTGGACATGTGGAAAACTTTTACCAGGAATCTATGGGTACCACAAGTCCTTATGTCAGTATTAATCATTCAGTTCACACCTCCTCCACCATTATTCTCCCAGCCTTAGTGTTTTCATCTTCTGCAGGTTCTCGGATTTCAGAACTTTGTTCAAGGGCTATGAGAGATTTGTTGGTCAAGGGGCAGTGGAGAGAGTCATCCCAGTTTTTCTAGGGTTTTATTCCCATCTGTTCGTTGTGCCCAAGAATCATATCATCGTTCTTTTGCATCTAAATCAATTCTTAGATCCTCCAAAGTTCATGATGGAGTCATTCCTCACTCTGCATTGGAATTTTTTGTCATGACTCTGGATGGCCAAGTTTGATGGCTTTGTACAAGTTTCCATAGAGGAGTCATCCTGACACTATTTCCTCTTTGTTAACAAGGGTCAGGTGCTGCAGTTCAGGGCTTCGCCCTTCGAATTAGCATCAGCAACATGTGAATCATATGAGCTTTTTCTCGTCACTCCTATTCCCTAAGCCTGTGCACACACCACTACATGGATGACTGGTTACTGCTGGCACCATCTCATCAGTTGGAGGAATGTCATACCCAGATTCTACTTTCAGGAGCAACCAAGGCAGGCTTTATTATCAGAGCTGAGAAATTTATTATCACTCCAACTCAATGTACCATCCATCTGGGTGTCTTTTTCAACATGTATCTCAGTCAGGTCCAGCCGACTCCCATCTGGCTCAACGCTATGGAACAGGCAGTCCAAATCTTACGTCTCCTCCCACTGTGGATATGATTTTTTCTCTTTTGGGGATGTGGGCATCACTTGAATCTCTCATTCCTTTAGGACAAGTGCACATAAGATCCATTCAATGGTCTCCATGTGGCCAATGGATGATGAACACTGATCCACTGGATTCCCCATTTTCCTTATTTAGGATCAACATTTTCAATCTTGAGTATTAGTTAGATCAGAACAATAGTACGAGAGGTGTTCTTCTGCCGCCACCTCATCTAGAAATCAATCTCTTCCCAGATGCATCGTTTCAGGGATGGGGTGCATATCTCAATGGTCAGGAATTCCAGGGCCTATGGACAGATAATGAGGCTCCCTAAAACTTCTCGCTGTTCAAAGGACGATGTCTCAAGGTCTGGACTTTTTAAGAGGAAAAATCATCATGCTTCATCCTGACAATTCAATGGTGGTGTCTTAGATTTCCCAGTACTCAATTCAGATATCTTTATTTTCAACCATTGGATCTTCTTTTTTTGGGCCCACTTCAATTCTATGATTCTACTAGTTTGCCATGTTCCAGGAGCGATGAATTTTGGTAGCAGAGCAATTGTCTTGACCCTACCGGATTCTCCTGACAGAATGGATGCAGCATTGCAAGATTTTTCATTGGATTTGCTCTCGGTTCGGGACACCAATGACAGATGCATTTGCCACTCATTGGAACTCTCAACTTTTGTCATTTTGGTTTCTGGTATCTCATGCTCAGGCATTGGCAATAGATGCATTCAGTCGGGACTGGACAGGATTGAACCTCTATGCCTTCCCACCAGTTAATCTGTTCCCCAGAGTCCTAGCTAGGATTTGTTCAACCCCTTTTCATGTTCTGTTGGTAGCACCGGATTGGGTGGCTCAACCATGGTTTCCATTTCTGTGGTACCTTCAGAAGTGCCCACTTCTTCCGCTTCCTCTTTGGCTGTCTCTGGTGAGGCAGCCATGATCTGACATTGTGTACCCAGCCGTCCTGAAGCTCAGGCTTCATGCTTAGAGGTTATGCAGTCCTTCTCACAGCATTCTGGTTTAACTTCTAAAGTTGCCATGTATCTATCTCAGTCTCTGCATTGTCCCATGATAGACATTTATCAACAGAAATGGCACACATATCGACAATGGTGTATTGCGAGGAGGTGATTGAACCCACTTCATCCAGAAGTGCCAACCATAAAGTACCATTATCACCCTTCCATTAAGGTTTAATTTTTGTTGCAGTTGGCCAGCTGACCTCATGCCAATCGGAGTTGTTTGCACTGCATGTACACAGGAAGCTTTATCATTCTACCCACATCCTCTTGTATCAAGATGGGTCCTTCTTACCTAAGACACTGGCAGCCAGGAAAGGGGATAAATCCTTTTCACCAATTCATCTGACTGATATTTCTCACCTATATGACTGATCGGATCCTGATTATTTGTTATGTCTAGTGAAGGCATTGAAGTGTTATGTTTCCCTCACTAACACCTTTCAAGGTGCTAGACAACGACTTTTTAATCAGTGAGATCCTTCAGTTTCCTGAGATTTATCCCCAGTTACCTTGATGAAGTGGTACGAAAACTGATCCATACTGCTCATCAGATTCATCACATTTCTGTGTCCTTAGTAGTCTGATTGAATTGCCCACTGGAGGACATTGTGTAGGCTTGTACCAATACTTGTATCTCACATTATTTGCATGATCTGACAGTATCTTCCTCTGAGGGTTTTTGACTACCCCCTGCAGCTATCTTAATCACATTTGCTAGATTATAAAGAGAAGTGAGTATCTTCACTACTAATTTTGTCTCTTCTTTACTTGCTAGTGTCACTTACCTCTTTTTTCATAGGATCCCACTTTGTGGCAAGTGTTGCCTCAGCATGTGTGCTTCTATCAAACCCAATCTGCATTACAACCATTAACACAATATATTTTATCAAAATTGCAACAGGCTCTGTAGAAATAAGATGTTCTGTTAAATCACCTAGAGGCTGACCAGGTGGTATTACTTTACTATGCTGGACCGCCATTCATGGACTATTATGAGTAAAGCATAAGGGGACCTTGCCCATCTCTGGTGATCATAGGATTGAATAATTTGGGGGTGGGGGGGGTTGCTTTTAAAATTCTAGGGAACTATGTTCACCTATTGCACTGTTTCCAGAGCATTCTTCCTCAGGACTCCCCAATGAGCATTACTCCCACTCCTATATTCTACTAGTGGAGCTAGGGAGTCCTTACCATACCCAGTTCCAGTCGCTGGGGTTGTGGACATAGGTTATTCCTCCAGAGTATTCAAGTGAATTTCCTCCTTTCTTGGAGAAGAGGGCAAAGTTGGGAGGCCCTCCTACCTGGGACCCTGGATGTTTTTTCCCCAGATGTTAATAGGAGAAGCACCAGCCTACGCATGAGCCTACTCGTAATACTGGTTCAGATTTGACACTTGGCTATCCGGATTGGTTGAGCATGGCCCTTCTTTTTGATCAATATTGCTTCAGTGCATTGTTCATAGAAGAGGGTCCATTGTCTCCACATAATTCCGAATGTAGAGTGGTCCCATCCTGGGTCCTTGGTTGAGCACAGTTGTTCCATGTCCTCCCCATAATTTCAGGGTCAAGTGTAATTTACCTTGCCCACATGGTTGGGGAATAAGGATGAATGTTCATAATGCCAGACCTGGTGAGTTCTGTTTCCTCAGGTTGAGTATGGCATACAGGATCCCATCATTTGGAGTTTAGGGGTTTTGCCTTTTGGACTACTTCAGGTTGAGGAGAGGCTTTGTCAACTTCGGTGTTGCTTACCTTCTTGTCGTGATTCCGGTGACTCGGAATACATCACTCTATAGCTATAGGTTGGGATCCACTCAAAAATATATAGATTTTGGACCAAATGCCCTATCCACCAATGTGGGATTCAGGGACCATGGCTCTATAATTCCAAACCACAGTAGTGGAACTTTGGCTACTTGGTTGGGGCCTGGTCAGTAGTGATGATGGATCATATTAAATTTCACCTACATTCTGTATGGATGATGCCCTCATCAGCCTCTCCACCTTATAATTGTGGGATTCTTGCTGTAGTGTGAGTGGAGGTAATTATGTTTTGAAAGTTAACATTTTCTTAAGTCAAAAATGTATTTCCAATAATACAATAATACGTAAGAGACGAAACAACCTTTACACGGAGAGTTCGTGAGGCACCCAAACACCTTCTTTATATAGTTTTTCCATATTCCATGTTTATGTATTGTTTCATGAGAGACATAAAATTTCAGGGCCATTTCACGAGTGTGTTGCCTTGGCTTAGATTTAACAAGCATCTTCAGAGCATCAGTATCAATTCCAACATGTTGGCCCCTGCCATCACAGTTTTTAAGACTAAA